GTGAAACGAGAACCCTGTGTTCAAGCTGTGTCTGTTTTTCCCTTATGTAGACTAAACAGTACATCTTACTTCTGCAGTTTTAAACTCCAGAACATTTGTATGTGAATACAGTCACATCCTGATAAGCATGATATGCTTATAAATATAAAATGCCATTTTTCCCCCCATTTCAGCTAACACTTTCCCAAACCTGGTATCTGCAATATTTTCTAGGCAACTGCAGATAAGCCAAAGTCTGCAAGATAGACGGGTATTAGCTGATGTGCATCTGTACTATAGGGGAAGCTACACCTGGGGAATATCTTTAAAAAATAGTTTCAATAGCCTAACCTATCATTTTGTCAGTCTGTGTAGTCTTTAAATAAATCAAACTACTTCAAAAGCAGTTGTCATTTTGTGCTGTATAAAATCGCAGGGTGTGTCTGTTCAGTCGTTAGTTTTGATCACAAATGTACTCTGACCTCTGTAGAATGAGCAGGAAAATTAAATGCGCGGGCTGATAGATGTGCCGAGCCTGCCCTTCTCGTCTGTGCTCCACTTGCATGACACACATACATTTTTCAAGTAACTCTGCTTTGTCAGTGAGTGTCTGCCTTTGTCAGTGAGTGTCTGCCTCTCTTTGCAGGAAAACTGCATGAGACCTAAACTGGAAAAATTGGTATTTTGTGACAAAGATGGGCCTAAAATTAATAATTCTCAGTCTCTTTGACAAGAATTGTTCTACCTTACGGTCCTCAGACTTCAGAAACTGCAGCGTTAGTTTTATAACTATTTCCATAAAAGTATGATGTTAGTGTTTTTGTCTAGATAATTTTTAGGACCATTCATATATTTGTGAGCACTTGCTGTAAGTGGTGATGGCAGTGTTTTACCAGAGCTCTTTGCTCTCAATGTGTTTTATGTGCTTATGTCACCCACTAATGGCATTAGAGGATGATGTGTCCCGTTTGGTTTTTTCCGTTAATAGGATTATCTGCCTAGCCCAGCAGTGATGAGGAGCTGTGTTCACTTTCACAGGTTTGTCAGCTTTCAGGCTGAAAGGTTTAAGAACTGCTTTGAATTACAACTAGTATTTCTGAAGTGAGTTAGATGACTACTAAAGATTGTCCCGTTTTATTTAAATATGCTGTTTATTTATGTAGTCGGTTTTCTGCAGCTAGGTAGGCAAAAGTGTTTAGAGACTCCAGATGAGCAGTTCCCAGTTCAGGTGGAAGTTTCTTGAGCAATACTTATATTTCAGCAACAAGTTACCTTGTCACAGTTTGTTTCACTGCAATATTAAAACCAGTGTTTCTTGTGCCCCTGGCCCTGTATTGTCATTTTAAAAAGGTCAGTACATTCTCAAATGGGACTCGTACCTCATGGATTGTGCTCACACTAGTGACCAGAAATCTCTTCTTGTGGGCATTTTGCTGGCATGAAAAGGCTTCCAAGTTCCCTTCTGGCTGCTAGAAATTCACTCTGGAGAATATTTGGGTTGAAAAAAAATCTCAGCAGAAGAGCTGCTGGGATTAAAGGGTTATGGATTGCTTTCCAAAGGCCTTCAGAGTTGGGATCTTCATTTGTCTGTCCTGTTTGGGCCTCCATAACCCCAGTATTATTCTTTCCTCTTGCGTCTTGGGATCACTAATAAAGCACATTCTTTGCTCAGAGTTCCTCAGTGGGGACACTTGGGTGGGTGGTGGGATGTGCAGTAATACTGTGCATGGCTTCAGGGACTTTAACTGCTTTTCTTTTTTTGGTTGAGAGGGAGAAGGTGCCCAGTAGCTTCAAGTTCATATTCCCTAAGTATGGTGCTATGTTTATTGATAAATATATGTCCTATAACAATAATAAGCTTTAAACATTAACTTTGCTAGTTGCTTCTCAGGTTGTCAGCAGTGTACAAATATATATATTTTTTGTAGCCTATCAGAACTACCCTTATTGCTAGCACCCCATGGCTTTCATTGCCAGCAACGGTGTGCCCTTTCCACTGCCTTCAGTAACTACATCATCTTGTCTTGCTTTGCTCAGAAAAGTGAGAGTAATTAGTCTGGGTACCAAATATTCCCTGAGTGTAAATACCTCTAGTGGCCATCATTAATGCTCTTGCTGCTCTCATCTTCAAATACTTAAATGACGGATGAGGAACAGGCTTGTTTTCGAAGGCTGTATTTTTTAAAGAGTCTCCTATAAACTTTGACTCTGAATTATGCTGTATACTCAGTAAACAACCGAGAGTGGTGGTACTCTTTATCTGTTGCCTGAATTGGTGCTGGTTGAGAGTGTTGTGGCATACAGTACAGGAGGCTGTAGTAGTGTTATGTGATGGTCCAAAGATACCTACAAGATGAGAACTGCAGATAGGTAAAGTAGCTTGACTTCTGATCTGCTAAATATCTGGTAAGATAAGGGGTTTTGTGTTCAAAGAGAATAGAAGTAGATAATTGTTCATGCAACATGTAGGTTAAGTTGTACACTCCCTTACCAAAGGGTGTTGAGGATGCTAAAAGCTTACCTGGACTTGAGAAAAAAAAAAAAGGGTAAGTTAATAGAGCAATTCATTCAGAATTATTAAGCAAGTAAGTAGAATTCCTCTAGCCCAGGAAGTTTAAATCGCTGATTGAAAGCTTAGGAGACCTTTTGGAAAAGTATTCTGTGCTTGTTCAGTTTATGTTCTTTTTTTTAAGCATGCTGGTGTGTACGTATATCTCTGCACCACTCCTGAAGGCATTACAATACTGGATGGATGTACAGAGTGTGTGTGGACACCTAATGTATCTGCTCAATATAAAGCCCTTAAACTGAGAGCGCACCAGATACAAGCTGATAGGAACAAGTACTGCATTTGATCCTAGCCAGATGGTGGAGATGGGATACTCCCTTATCTCTGGAGACCTGGAGTTGGGAAGAATTCCTGGCAGGCTGAGCTTAGGAAAAACAGGTGCTTTGTGTTAACAGAAAATGGGCAGTATTGGCCTTAGCTAGGCATCTGTGGTATGTTTGGCAATTTAGCACCTCCAGAGATCTGCACTGCTGGTGCATCTGATGATGGTGTTTGTTCTGAAAAACCAAATCTGAATTAGGTTCCAAACTTTGGTTACACTGAAATAATGCAACACAAGCGTGTTTCATTAGTTTCTACCCTTCAGGCTCTCTGAGATTCAGCTGCCTTGGAGAACAATTTAATCGGTGTGAGTTTGTAGCTGGGCTGTGTTTACCGAAGCTGCTCAATGCTGATGGAGCCATGAAAGCTGTGTTTACTGAGAACTGCTGTCTGTGCTTAGTCTGAGCTGGGCAGGAGTGGGGAATGTGGTTTAGCAATCCTAAATCTTGTGGTCAAGACTGTCTTGGGAGGATCTTCAGCCTAAAGGGACTGCAGGATGAGTGCAGCTCACAAGTCATGAGGAATGTCTGCAGGCAGATAAAAATGGAGACAAGTGAAACCTTTGGGATAAATAAATCAAAGTGTTCACCTGGAAGGCATAGTCTTACATGGTTTCTCACCAAACTGATTTCAGTTAAGTGGTTTTTTTTTTTGCTGTTGCTGTCACTTGTGAAGTGTAATTCCCCCCCCTCCCCCCAAATGCCATTTTTAGCTTGAGGAGACAGACTTGGTTCTGGTCAGAAGATAGCTTGAGATGACATAGTCATTGCATTTTTTTGGACTGACTTTGTCACATGGACACTAATTGCAGAGAAGTCTTGGAAGGTTCTTCTGAGAAACACGTTAGTGCTGCGAGGCAAAGGGCTGGTGCTCATAGCAAGTGATGTGGAATAGTTTAGAAGTTA